TAGCCTATAACTTCCACCACTCTGATGGCCTGAATTGCTTTAAAACTTTTAACAGCAAATGGCTCTCTATAATTTGTTTTATTTAAATTAAACTGATTTTAATAAATTCAATACAGATGGGAAACTTTAAACTGACAACCTCCGTTAAAATGTAAAGTTAAATAATCTATTTTTAAAAAGAAACATGTTTATATTAAATACAGGATATGTTTTTGAATATTAAAAAAATCATTGATTTATAGGCACTCTCTCTGCAAGGTGAAAAAGTATGAAGTGTTGAAAACCTGTTATTTAAGTTCTATTCAGCAAGAACTCGGAACCTTCTGTACTGAGCTGCTAAAGCAGTGATAACCTTTTCTTTTCTTGTAATATCGTGTTATCCTTTTTAGCCTGTTGCTTAGCTACACTGAATACAAACACTTAATCAGAGTATGACAATAAGGGGGTGCCTGCAAATTCTTAGGGAAAAAAGCCTTACTGAGACAAACAGGAAATGATTATTACAGCAAAATTAAAAATGAATAGGTATAGAGCAGTAGACTTTTTCCATCACTTTGAGACACTGAACAGATAAAATTGTCCAAAATAGTCAAAGTGAACAAACCTTGTTTATATTTAATTGGAGAACAGAATAAGAGCAATCAAGATCATTAATAAGATATTTCATTTTACACACATTAATTGTTCTGCAAATTCAACCTTTATAACAGATACTACAGCAACTGCACTTCAACCTAGCTTTCATGTTGCATTAGCAACAGTACATATTCCATTTAATTTTTTTCATAAAGATATATTCCTTCCACTTTAACTTATCAAACATATACAAGCATTCATTTATAAGCATTTCTCTACTCAATTTATTTAACAGAATGTCATAATTCACATGTGACTTCTGGAATATCAATGGAAAGCTTTCAAAATTTGTCATTTATTTTAATAAGTTTTTGTTCAAAGCACAAAGTTATATCAGACTTTGCTCAATCTACAAAAGATACTCTTTTGTGTCAAGCAATTCCCTGGTCACATAATGACTAATTTTATGTACTTAGGTCCTAATCCTGCTAGTACCTTAGCAAGTGTTTATACCTGCATCTATCAAATCAGGAAGACCACTCACATGTGTAAAGTTAGATATACAAGAGCTGCAAGAGTCAATAAAGGAAGAAATATTGTTATAGCCTAAATAAATGTGTTTCTGAATGAATACAATCAAGTTAAAAAATTAAGTACAGCCTAAAGAGCAGTGGGGGCGGCCAATGTTTTTGACAGACCTGCCACAGATTAATCCCTACGCCTTCCCTGAATGCCATAGATCTCTCTCCCCACCTGATTTGCTGCTCTGATTTTGTTCTTGGTCCTGTGCTTCCTATCTTATCTGCTGCTCTGCTTCTTTCCCTGTGGTCCCCATCCTGACTCATGCTTTGCTTTTTACTCTCTGTCCTGTGCTCCCTTGCCTCTCTCTGACCTTCTGTACCACACACAGCAGCTTCCCAAACCACAAGTGCCACAGGCTGGCTTGATGGATTAATGGTGTCTGCTGAACAACAGAGTAACAAACCTTAATGAGGCATGAATAGCTAAGCAACTCTGTTCTAGCATGCTTTAGTTGGCATGTATAATTTGGCTTAAGAGATTTCTCCAAAGCAGTGGTGCTCAACCTTTTTCCCTGGAGGCTTGGATGGCAATGCTTGGTCCGACCACAGGCTGGATGGTGGTTTCAATCTAGTACCTGGGATCAGCAGAGGGGACACCTTCTTGCCATGCAGAGCGGGGTGGGGGACAGCCCAGCCTGAGCCTGGCCCTGTAGAGGGGGGAGGGGGCTTCATCCAGGCCTGTGGGGAGGGAGGGGGAGAAGCGTGACCTGGCAAGGAGGTGAAGGGCATGGCTCAGCCCTGCAGAGGGAGGGAGGGAAGGGCAGCATGGCTACACCCCAACTTGGCCCCACAAAGAAAAGGGGGCATGGCCTGACCCCAGCCCAGTTCTGCAGGGAAAAGGGGGCATGGCTGGGCCCTGTGGGGGAAAAGGTGGCATGTTCCAGCCCCAACCCTGCCCTGCTGGTTGGAAGGGAGCATGGCCTGGCTGCGACTGGGTGTGCAGGACTTGGTGTTTGGGAATATGGCTGCATTAACAGTCACTGCTCCCCCACTGCCAAATTTCCCAAGCTGTGGAGGTCCCTATGGGCCAGATTTGATGGCTCTATGGGCCTTGTTTGGCTTGTGGGCTGGAGGTTGAGCACCCCTGATCTAAGGGTATGGACACAAGTACATTTAGAGCCGTTTCCAAAGAGGGGCAGGAGACAGGACTCTTGCTCCAAACTATACTGTAGCTGAGTGATTCTTAACCAAACTCCCATCCCCACTGTCTACCCCCCTCTACAAGAAAGTAAACATAATGCAATATAATGTGCAAAAATATATTTAAAAATTCGTTTCTGAAACAGGGTGCCACTCAATTCACAAAAGTTATGGAGGGGTGCCTTGAGTGCAGTGAGGGGTGCCTTGATTCCAGAAAGGTTGTGAATCACTGCAGCAGTAGTTGTGGCCTTACAGTTTCATGGAGATACAAGTGTAGCAAAACAGCTCCAATTTTAACACTTTCATCTCAGGTTGGAGTAGTTTTGGTTCATTTGTATCACTCCCAAGTTGTTCTTATCTAATAGTTACAAGTAGACATAACAGCTCCTGGGCACTCCCCATCAACAGCTCCCCTTTTAAAGTGGCTCCAAACGTATGCATGTACTCATTGCAGATTTCTGTTCTCTTACCTTATCCTAATAAACAAGCCAATAGGACTTGGCAAATGGCTTGTCATCTGTCCATGTCACCCCATAGCATAGGTGACATGTAAGTGCTGACAGTAGGGAAGAGGGTGGCACAACTCCATGCCACAACCACAGTGGGGGTCACAACTCTGCCACTGTCTGCACTGCTGCTGGACATTGGGTCCAACAGGGCTGCAGCCCCATGCCCTGTCACTGGCGCAGGAATTACTCTGCCACCACCTCCACTGCTGTTGGGTCCTGGCTCCAGCCAAGCTGCAGCCTGTGCCCCACTATTGGCACAGAAATCTGAGGGGGCATGTACCCCTAATGCCCCCCTGACATCTCCAATGCCCCACAGACATCTGAAGTGGCTTCTCCTCTACAACTGTATGCTGTAATAACTATAACAAAAAAATATTTATATTCTTGATAGAAAGCTGGACCTTTGGTACTCCAGAGGCATGAAAGCTATTCTTTACATATACAAATAGCTATGTTAAAAAAAAAAAATCTTAAATTCCGTGTTGAAGCATCTCTTTGGTGTTAATGTAACTGTGCCCGCAGTCTTTCAAATGTGATACAGATTTTCGAATTGGCAATTGAGATTGAACTGTTTAGCTTTTCAGAGGAAGTTAGAGTTTTATAGTAGAATAGAAAACAAATGGGTCTTTTGACACCAGAAAGATAAAGAGTGGTTTGGGATTCTGGAATAAATATTAGTTGCATTTCCATTAAAAATGGTTAGCAGTGAAGGAGTTATTGACAGTTAAACTCTCACCACTATTGTCCAAAATTAACACAATAGAGATTTGAAGCGGGTATTTTAGTTCTTTCAGAGTTTCACAGACTGACAGCACTGCATTAGCTTACACTGAGTTTATGTGTATTATATTATCACAAGAATGAAAGAAATGGTCATAAGTAACTGGTTGTAGCTCCCTGGTTCAGGGCCCCTGGTTCTAATACAAGTTACAGTTGCTTGGCTGTAGCCCTAAATGACCTTATTTTAGTAGAGGTAAGGGTGCAGATCTGACCTGCTTAACAAAATACCACCCCATCTCTGACTCATTTGGCCCTGTGCCTAACAAACTGCCTTGCAGCTCTATCAGCAGAGAGGTCTCCTTTAGAGAGAATTCTCCATAAGTCTTTTCTAATTTCTTAAAGACTGTTTTGCTCTCCTTGCATGGTGCAAAGTGACCTAGGCAGCCCGGAGAATCCTATCCAAAGTAAATAAATGAAGACAAACTGCAGATCCAAGGGGTCACACCAGACTTCTGTATTTCAAGTGTTCTATTACTTTTGCAACATTAATCTGTTCAATAAAGAAATAACTTTCAGTTTCAAAGCTTCTACTACACATAGCACTGTATTTTCAGAATGGATACAGGCACTCAAAAGTAGCACAGGATCCAACGGTGCAAGATATAAGGGGTGTTTATAGATGTGCTCCAGGAGGAGGGGGGGCACTTTAATTAGAATGGCTCTAATTAAAGCACCTGGAGTTTAATGTGTATCAGCCATTTTTCAGTGTGGGGACGCTGATACACATGATGCTGGAGACTGCTGGAGTGCGGTAATTACCACCATTCAGAATGGTTCTCCTTTGCTCATTACTCAATGTACTGCACCCCCTTCATTTCCCTGTACTGGCTTTCCCTTCATCACCACAAATACAAAATCACTATTTCTCATTTTCAAAACTCTTCAGAATTTAACTTCATATAATTTTGTGTTGAGATTGACCCTTGGCACTCTGTGAAAACAGAAGCCTTTATCACCCATTTCCCTACCCCACAAATACCTGTTTTCCCATCCTGATACATTATATTACATTTATACAAAAAGAATAATTGAAAAGCCATGTTACTTCAGTTTAAGTACCTCTTTAAAACCCACCTCTGCCATGATACTGACCAAAATCTGCTATCTGACAATGGCAAAGCTGGTGTCAAGCTGTGATTGTGACTACCATTTGGCCTACTATATCACAGCTGTTCATATCACTTGTATACTTATAAACAGTGGATAAATACACAGGACTCCAACCCCGTAACTGCCTCATCTACCTGTTAGAGCTCGTCTTTCAGGATGCAAGCTCTTCAGGAATAGACTCATTTACAATGTGCTTGGACAGTGCCCACCATAAAGAGAAACTTGAAGCAATAAAGACATTCTTGCATTACCATATTATAAATAGTAACCAGTGACTGAACAATACCGATTTCTATTCTCTTACCATTTTTGATGTTGGGCATAACAGGCTGTGTAGGTGAACTACTGCTTTCAGTGACTTCTTTCTTTTGGTTAATAGTTGTTATGAAATTGCTGAACGTGGAAAATTGAGTTTTGGCTCCTCTCTCCAACCCCTACACACAGGAAAAGTATATACAATAAAGCACTAATATCTATCATTACAAAAGTAATTTTACTCATTATTTATTATATGGAACACTTAAATACTGCATTTCTTGAAAAAGAAATAGTAACATATTAATACTTAAATATTTTCAACACATATATTTCCAAATGAATAATGAAACCCAACATAAAACTACTTTCCATTTTTTCTATGTTTTAAAAGCTATTCAGTAATTTATAGCCAAGTTTTGCAGATAAAGTGAGAATAGCAAACAAGATGGCTAGAATGACATCAACTTCTTGTTATAAACTCCTGCAACTTAATTCATAATTATCTTTGTATTACTTTGCTGCATTCAACTCAGTTATAGTACAGTGTATTTCACACTCCTACATCAAAACAACATTATGTATTAAGGTTGTTTTTAGAGCCGAGCCTAAAAATAAAATCTGGTATTTAAAAAAAAAATATCCCCATGTGGCCAAGAACTTTTATGTGGGATGCTTGCTGGTAAAGTAAAACTACTAGCCAATTAGAAGGCCAATGACTCAAAAGTTTTCAGTGTTGACTGTCAGTCAACTTATAAATAAAAGGTTAATGACTGAACATTTTCCAATACATCAAAAAAGCTGCTTCAAGATCTGCCTGTGCTGACAGGAAAGAGGCTGAATGAACCATTGTCCCTTGCTGTAGATATAATAAGTTTTAGAAATCAGCACTGAATCCAAATGAGGCACTATGATGGAACATGTAAGGGACTGCTTACGTCTTTCAAATCTTAAAGAAGCAGATGTTAAATATTTTAGCCCCCTTGAGAATAATACTTTACACTTTTGCAGGGTTTTAAAAAGGAAATATTACCCCTATTTTAAAGCATAATATTAAGCAACTTGCCCAAGGTTGCATACCAGATCCATAACAGAGCAGAAATCCAAACCTGCATCTCTAAAATCCAAAGCCTTAACTCACGTCTGGCACAGACAAATTCAGTTCTACTGTGTTTAGTGATTTACATCCATTCTCTCGTCAGTGATGATTCTGATCCTCATATTAGTCCAATGGTTAATCTGATCAACACATCCAACCATGCCACTAAAATGGCATTTTTTTTTTCAGATTTCTACATAAAACTAAACATTTTATATCTATCAAAAGTCTAAATCCCTTATACTATAAAATACAAATAATAATAAATAAAATTACTAATGCAATATCCTACCCATATCTTCTCCCCTCTGGAGAAACAATCCTGTAGCTCGAGTCCTGAGAAGAGCTGTAAGTCCACAGATGCATTCTGCAGTAACCTCAAGAGCCTCAGCAAGGCCCAGAGATATGCACATTTCAACCTGGCAGGAGTTGGAATACTGCTGGAAATTTTATATAACTGAAAACTTTACTGTGCTTATAAAAAAGGTCATTTTTCTTGGCCCATAACTCAGTCAAAACTCTACAAGTTTAGAATAGCAAGACACTGAACTTCAAGACTACCATATTTCCATTTCCAACTTCAAACCCTTAACATACTAAAGATATTAATAAGGCAGATAAAAGTGTCAACACTCAAAGTGTCAGGCAACCACACAAACTGGAATGGCATTTTTAAAGACTAAAACAAAGAAAAACTAAAATATCTTCTCTGCATCTTCTATATAAGTATCTGTAAATACAAGATAGTAGGTCTTCCCCACAGCCTGAGGGAAAAATATGCAGGAATCGGCCAGTGAAAGTAAAGGACACTTTGAAATTAAACTAAGTCTCAAGAAAGGCTATGTTACCATTGAAATAATTTCTGGAGCATACAAACTGCAAAGCCAGAAATTGGTTTAGAGATTGGTTAACCCATTATGAAATAATAGAGAATAGAATCATGCATCTACGTTGTAGACATTTGCAGGGGCAACTTCTCTCATGCAGGCAACAATGGCAGGCTTTTCTAGGATTGAACAGAACAATCGTACAACACCAATGTAAAAATTGAGCAAATAGGATCTTTTTGACAAGAGCATTACAAAGGCAACTGGGGTCAAAAACAAGTTCTATGCACTAGAATAATAGAAAATCAGTGTTGGAAGAGACCTCAGGAGGTCATCTAGTCTAACCCCCTGCTCAAAGCAGCACCATCCCTAACTAGATCATCCCAGTCAAAGCTTTGTCTAGCTGGGTCTTAAAAACCTCCAAGAATGGAGTTTCCACCACCTCTCTGGGTAACCTGTTTCAGTGTTTTACTACCCTCCTAGTGAGAAAATTCTTCTTAATATCTAACCTAACCTTCCCTTGCTGGAATTTGAGACTGCTGCTCCTTGTTCTGGCCATCTGCCACCACTGAGAACAGGTCAGCTCCATCCTCTTTGGAACCCCCCTTCAGGTAGTTGAAGGCTGCTATTAAATCCACTCAGTCTCCTCTTCTTTATACAGGTAATCCTCAACTTACAATGTTTCAAGTTACAACTTTTTGCACTTGCAACGTTTATAAATTGACATCCTGTTTCAACTTTCTGATGTCAGTTTCAACTTTACAACTCTTGATCCAACGCCACGCCACACCAGCGAACAAGCTTGCTGCATTGCCCATCTCTCTGAAGGACATCTGTCCAAACTTCCTTGGACACTTTCTTTAACAAAGCAGACAAAACTCCAGAAAAACTTGCAGCCGACTTCTGAGAAGACCCCAGCCAAGAACCCTTCAAAAAACCAACAAAGAGCCCTTCAAAAAGTCTAGCAAAGTCACTTCAAAGAAGTCACTCCAAATCAATATGATTGCTATTTACAATATACATACATTATTGTAGCTATATTACTCATCTATAAGTGACTGAGTACAAAATTCTGGGTAATTTTTGGTGAAAATAGGGTATCGGGCCTTGGTTCAGGAACCAATCCCCCATTTATAATAATGTTTCTCATGGGAAAATAAGTTCTGGGTTACAACGTTTCAACTTAAGACATGGTTTTCAGGCACCAATTATGTTGTAAGTATGAGGACTGCCTGTACTAAAAATGCCCAGCTCCCTCGGCCTTTCCTCATAAGTCATATACCCTGTACCCCAGCCCCCTCACCATTTTTGTTGCCCACTGCTGGACTCTCTCCAATTTGTCCACATCCTTTCTGTATTAGGGGGCCCAAAACTGAACACAGAACTCCAGATGTGGCTTCACCAGTGCTGAATAGAGGGGAATTATCACTTCCCTGGACCAGCTGGCAACACTCCTACCAATGCAGCCCAGCATGCCGCTAGCCTCCTTGGCAAAAAGGGCATGCTGTTGGCTCATATTCAACTTATTGTCCACTGTAACCCCCAAGTCCTTTTCCATAGAACTGCTGCTCAACCAGTCAGTCCCCAGCCTGTACTGGTATGTGGGACTGTTCCGTCTTAAGTGCAGGACTTTGCACTTCTCCTTGTTGAACCTCATGAGATTTCTTTTGGCCCAATCCTCCAATTTGTCTAAGTCACTCTGAATCCTAGCCCTACCCTCCACCCTATCTATTACTCCCCCCAGCTTGATGTCATCTGCAAAATTGCTGAAGGTGCACTCTATGCCATCTTCCAGGTCGCTGATGAAGACACTGGAAAAAAAATGGCCTCAGGTCCTACTCCTAGGACACTCTACTTAATACTGGCTGCCACCTAGACATCGAGCCATTGATTACTCTGAGCCCAATGCTCCAACCAGTTTTCTATCCACCTTATATTCCAGCCTGTACTTGCTTAGCTTGCCTGCAAGAATGTTGTGGGACACCATATCAAAAGCCTTGCTAAAATCAAGGTATATCACATCCACCGGCGGTCTCCCCCCATCCCCAGAGCCAGTCATCTCATCGTAGAAGGCAATCACTTTGATCAGGCATGACTTGCCCTTGGTGAATCCATGCTGACTGTTCCTAATCAACTTCTCTTTCACCACTGTTGGCTGCTCACCTCCTCCCCAAACCATGCTGTCTGGCGTAGTAGTCTTGGAACTGACCTTGCCTGTGAAGCCCGAGGCGAAGAAGCACTTCAGCCTTTTCTGCATCCTCTGTCACAAGATAATTAATAAAGAGTTTCAAAAGGGTTAAACCCCATATGAAGCCGGCAAGACACTGAAAAGCTCACCTCTCTGAATTTATCCCAAGCAAAAGTAGTCACTGAAGTTAATCTCAGGCAAGAGGAGATAGTCAAAATAGTAAAGGGAGACTTGGGAGACTAAGTTTTACACACTGCAAGGAAAGAAGATGCTTAACTAAAGGTTCTCTGAAAACATATATGTGGTCTAAAAAAAAAAAAAAGAGGGGTGGTGCACATGGCTGCAGCATGCACTCCCTGAAACTGGAGCCTGGCCAGCTAGAGCCATGCTCTGGCTGCCGGTTAGGCTCTATGCACCCAGATCACTGCCGCTGCAGCCCTGGGAGGACTCCAGCCTCCCCTACCCTGCCCAGGGCAATTTGCCATACACCAGAGTGCTCGTGCAGGGACATTCCCTAGGGACAAATAGCAGCGGCACAATTATGTGCCACTGCTATATGTCCCCGGAGGAACGCACATAAGCGCTCCTGTCTCGATGTGCCCCTTGATTCCTATCCTGAAGGCATCACAGTCCCTAATCACCTGACCTGCATCAAAGGCCTGAACTGAGCACATGGCAAGATCAACACATTCACTGACTACTTTAAGCTCCCAAGATACTGCTTAAAAAAGAGAAAGGTCAAGCAAGAACTTTCTTCCCTACTTCCACTTGACTTTTCGCTTTGAAGGATCACAATGCAAAGAGGTACAGCCAGAATTAAAGATAAATCTTTTATTCAAACATAATGCCAGTCTTTGAGCTGTGACAGCACCTCCCCCCATACACCCACAGGGGAAAAACTGCAGCGCAGTTGGCAGCATCCTTGTTGAGTATTACCTGTTCTTCATTCACCACCAAAACTGGGACTGTCTAAGGAAAATGACATGCCTTCACTCCAGTAATCAGTTCAAGGAACAACCACAAGACAATCTAGCCATGCCCGTTACACAAGTACTGAATGGATTTCTAACACAAGGAACAAGCATGTGAAAAAATCTAAGCAAGATTTTCTGGCATTACAAAGCAAGAAGGTTCATTGTCAAAACAGATGATGTAAGGCACGCTACTATATGACTGTTGCTAAATTGGAGAGAGAATGTACAAGGATAGGGAAACACAGCTAATGGTATTTGAGTTGTTTGTGCATTTCCATATTTAAACAACAGTACTTTAAATGGATACATTAGATGCTGCATACCAACACCATGATTCTGATTTTTGAAAGAAACTAAAATGTTCTAATATGATTTTTTTCCCTTAAATTACCAAACTGCTATCTTAACTTCAGCTTAATGAGGTTGGGTCGGAAATTTCTCTCTCTCCTTTAAAATATGTGATCTGTGTTTAGTGCTTTATACCCAAAGTTTCAATCACAACTCTGGTGCTATTAGCAATTTAAGCACTGAATCTGGCAGCATACTTTCTAAATTTCTGGAACCAGACATCTGGGTTTGATGAAGGGTGAGGTCTGGTACAACAATTTCCCAAGATCCACCACCTTCATCAAAGCCGTGTATAAAGCTTTTGCTCCATGACTCGGAATGATTCTCAATGGGCGTTATATGCCCATCACTGAAAACATGCCCCAGGTGCTGATTTGAATCCTAAACACAAAAAAAACTAATCCCAATTGTCTGTCAACTTCTGAATCGCTAACTGCACCGTTCTTTGAAGAGAACCCAAAGAGTGGAATAAGGATGTTCTAGGCAAAGAGACTAGCAGAATAATGCAGAGAAGTTCACAGTCCACCCACACTACCTGGCTTAACATTGCCATTACTCCTTTACTGTCACAAGCATTATTCACACTCGACACATTAAAATGGTGTAAAAAGATGAGTTGTACTAATCTGGATGCCATTTAAACTGACTGGACTAAAAGGCTTCATAATTCTGAAGTTAAAGGATTAGAGATACCATTCTTTGCCGCTTTGTTCTAAGAAACGTATCTAAACTTGTTTGTGCTACTTAAAAAAAGAAAGAGAGAGAGAGGTAAATTGTATACGAGGAAATCAAAGCTACAAGGCTGAGATATAACCTTTGCATTATAACAACTTCAGAAATAACCGAAAGGTGGAATCATTTAATGCATCCCCACACACCTGTCAAACTAGAGGGCTCTCTGTGAACCCAACAGCACTAATTCTACCACAAAAGTAGGGCATGTTTGGTGATTAAATGTTTGGTGATCTCTGTTTAAACAAACCAAAGAAGAGATCCATCCTGGGACTACTGGCTGAAAAATCATTAGTGCCACTTTCTTTCCAAGATGGCAAATTAAACCAGAAACATACTGCACTGTCATTCATGCTCTACTCCTTACAGTGCAGCTCATTCATGTGCACCCGCCAGCAAAGGAGGCGTGGCTACACGGTGCTAAAGGGTGGCACCAGGATGGCTACAGCAGGGGCAGGTAGTTGCACCGATCCCTGGCACACCTAAAGGTGCTGATATTACACCTGCTAGCCAGAAGAAGCAACTACCGTGCCCAGAGCCCAACACAACTAACTGTCCCTGCTTCCAAGAATAAATCCATTAAAAAACCCAGGTGAAATAACACGCCCCTGGATGCAACCAGCGGGGTGGCCGGCTGCTTGCTGTCCTAGTTTCCGAGCCCTTCCTTCTCCTGCCCGTTTCTCAGCCGCAAGGAGGCTCGGACAGCACCTGGCACCGAGCGGACCGAGGCGACGGGTCGCAGCAGCCCCGCACCTACCCCGGCAGCGCTGCCGGCC